TAAGCAAGCTGTGAACATCAAGTCAAATACAGTAGTCCAGCAAGGCTACTTGAAAGACTAGTTGATGGGCAGCGTACATGACCGACCCAACTCGGCATCAGAGCTATCAAAGCACACCACTACTAGGTCATACTGCATGCATTCCGGCTGCATATGAATATCAAAACGTTGCATTTACATTCTTTTTGTACCCTGCAGCATATGGTATGCATATGCATATTGTGTGCATATGCTTGGTTGTAGTGGGTTATTTTATGACATTTTCTATTTCGTATACTGTATATAGCCCAGCTGTGTCTCTTTCAACTGCAACAAAATTAAGTCTAATACTTACGACTCCTCTGAACCACTTTGGCAATATCTTCGACGACATAGTTTTTTCCTATATTTATGCATGGATCAATTCCTGTGGTTACCATCCCCCCCGGGCAATACCCCCGGGATTTGTCTTTTTTTTGCAAGAATGTAGTAAATTCCCCACCCCCGGGACTTTAAAACTTGACAATTCCTCACCCCGGGGCACTGCAACATTGTACTGTTGAAAAAAAAGGTAAACTATCTACCTTCAAAAATAGGTTTCAACTTTTGTAAGTTGTTTTTTCCAACCATTCCCCAACAAATTAGCAAATTTTCCCGAAAAAGCCTCTTGAATTGAGCATGAGGTAGTCGCCACTTTGAGTACTTTTGGACGTACGCTCACTGAACTATATACATGTCACTAGAAGCGCTAGCCGCTAGATACACAGTCAAAACATGGTCCTGGATACGAGTTTTGCTTTTTACCCCGGGGAAACCCCCGGGACAAAATTTTCTAACAATTCCCCACCCCCGGGATTAAAGTTTCTACATTAGCCCGGGAGTTGCCTGGGTGGGGGATGGTAACAACAAGAATTGATCCATGCATTACTTGCGGACATCCGGAGTGTCCATTTCTCCAAACAGTTGACTCTAAACCCCGGAATGGTGTGTTACAGAAGATGGTGGCGTTCTTGTATCTTGCAAGGCATCTTCGGATTGTAAATTATTAATGCATCTAGGGATTTCTTGGCAACACTGACACTTGTATACATTCTGAAGTAATGCCATATCACAATTACCACATTTGCACCTAAGATTTATATAAAGAGATATTCTTAATAAGCTACATTAAAATTAAACAAAAGCAGGAATTGATTGCTACATTCTATTTCTAGTTTTGTGTGAGAATGGTTCTGCTAATCTGCTTACCATTGGCTTACAGCAATTGTGCCATCTAAACGCTGTTTAAGGGCCTCGACATGAAGTTTTTCACTCTCCTTTTCTCTCTCGTATTCTTCGATCCATTTTATATCAGCAATGAGTTCATCGCTATAGGGAAAAACTGCAGTGGCCGCGGCCACAGTATTGTCTTCCCATGATTTCCCGCTTGCCTCATTCGACACCGAAGCAGAGCCTACATCAAATTCTTCCACTTCAAGTTTGTAGTGATCTATATCACCATGCGATTCACGCTCTGACTCAACAGATGAAGATTCGTCCGAGTATAACTCAGAAGTAGACATATTGTTCTAACTTACTAAATAAAACAATTCCTCGAATTTTCCGGTAGCTTTTGCTCTCTATTCATGTAAAACACTACAGAATAACAAGAGCTCAAATTGCTTCTGTACCCGAATTGACGTCACACACCTCAATTTGTACCCAGTCTCTTTTCTTCCGGCCATGATTTAAAAATAGGTATGCACTGCGTACATGTTGCATGCCATCTGAAACTTCTATCTATGCTTATGATGCGCTATAGCGCTTATAACCTTTGATACAACTGGCGTGAAACTTAAAATATCGATTCAATAAATTTAATATCAATATATTTATTGCAAAATAGCTATTATGTCAAAATAAGAAAACTTAAGATTCTCACGCGAATTATCCTACGGTGTAAACCCCAGCAGAAACAGGCGAATATAGACAATGTTTTTTAAGCGACTGTTAATAGTTAGTTGCAAGTGATGGTAATTGCTGCCGAGCGCAGCGAGTCAGCCTCCTATTCTCGACAATGTGTTTTAGCGCATTTGAATTTCCCGCCAACAGTTTTATAAAGTTGAAGGGAATCTCGATTTTGTGTCGTTCAAGTGTTTGTCGGCAGTTGTGACATCAAATTATGATGTGGCAGTAAGGAATTTACATTGGAGCATTATCATAGTCCAGGAGTTTACGATAGCAAATTGATGACTGCCGAATGCTTTGTTCAGCGATCTGCAAACACTGAGCTATAGAATACATGGATACAGAAATTAAAACTATAGATACAGAAATTGAAGCTGGAAGTCATGCGCGGCCGCCATCTTAGTGTGACCACCTTGAGGAGTGAGCTATTGTGATTAATACGGTATTTTCAACTGTTTTGTTCTGTTATCTCGCAATAGAGGAACAAATCAAGTCAAATATGGTATTTTAAGCAAAAGCACATGTTCAAGAATGTTGGGGACCTCTTTTACATTCAATTGAACTCAATCGTAAAGAAACATGTCTATATTTTTGACGACGTTCTGAGTGCGACTGAGATGAATCATAAATACAGTCATGACAACACCATTCAAATGGGAATTTCTGATAGAGATCAGTGAATTATACCATAAGTTAACACATGTGAAATGAAGAAATTGGTCATGAACTTTATTGTTTTGGAAATGGTGAATTTTAATATGGACAATATACTCATATCACCTCATATTTGTTTCTATCAACGCAAACAAATTATGTCGCTTGTGGGATTTATTAAAGGAACAATGCCTTGTGAGAATATATACCATCCCATCCCTGCTTGTGTAATATGTTCCTTATTAAAGTCATAGTCATGATTAATTATCACTCTTCTGAGAAGACCTCAATGGTGTTTTATTCCAAAGAAGCAGACTAAAATTAATAAATTTGAAAGAAATTGAAAGTTGTAAAATAATGGTATCTCATTTCTGTGCTTTTTAGATCCTCTAGAGAGTATAAAGTGAAGATGGAACAATGCCGCAAACAGTTACTATCAGTTGCATGTCTATATATGCATTATATTGCATTGTGTAAAAACAATTTAATTGTAAAGGGTCTCTAGTATTTAGTCCATGTGCTTATGTATCCATGTGCTTTGTAACTGTCAGGAAACATGCATATGGTATTAAGAAATACTAAACCACTTGGTACCAATTTTTCCCATTAGGATTATGCCCGTCAGGACTATTTTTAGATTTCCCCCCAATTTGGTGGCCATTTTGGATTTCAAGATGGCTGCCGTTTGTCAATTTAAGTCAAGTAAGCAATAGAAAATGCCCAAATTCCTCTTATGAAGAGTATATTGATATTACATAATGCATACAAAGACAAACACACTCAAAATATTTTTCTCCCTTCAAAATGGTCTTAATAGACTTAATAAATGGGAAAAATATATGTATAGCAATTGTTTTAATATTGTGCTGTGTGCTATCTTAATGTAATGCCGGTTATCCTCACCTTAACTACATATTTGAGTTCAGTTTATTTAAAAAATATAACTAGTGGGGTAGTAATAAAGTGTGGTACAAAGTTAAACAATGCTTTTTGGAGGCCATCTTGGAAATCAAGATGGCTGCTATATGTTTGCATGTTTTCTGAAACAAGTGAGTAAACAAGTTGAACGATCATTGATGTTAACAGAGCACGTAAAATTCACATCAATCTTATTGCTTATGACATTAATTTTCTGTCATCTGCTACTATCGATGACAAAACAAAGAAAGAAAATAATCGATTAAGTGATCAAACTGGTCAGTGGTTAATCAAGTCAAAGTACACATCATTCAAGATGTCATCAGCAGAACCACCTGCTAAGAGTAAGCCAACCGATTATAATTTATGCATAAAATGTCAGGAACATAAAAAAGGAAAAACTGACGAAACCAATGGTTGTGTCTACATATGAAACATTTCTACGATATGTTAATGAGAGATTTGAAACTGGAAATCCTGATTATATTGGAGTGTCACAAAGATTGAAGGGACTGTCACCAAACAAGCTTCTAGAATTAGGGGCCCAATGGCATCGCAATTGCTATTGTGAAACAACAGAGAAAAACAAGCTTGAAAGAGATAAGAAGAGGTACCAAATGAATAGCGAAAATAACCTCAAGGGAAAAGGGCGCCCTTCTTCAGGTTCTGTTTCTTGTAGATTGACCAGATCAGGTAAAGAGAGTTTTAATCGTGACACCTGCTTTTTTGTCAAGGAAGTGATCCAGAGACAGCTAGAGATGCAATCCATTCTTGCCAAAGTAAAAACAGTGCAAATTCGATCAAAGATATTGTAGATAAAAATGACAATGCTAAATGGAAGGTCCAGTTTGCGGATATATTAGCCAAGGATGATTTCCTTGCCAGAGACATAGTATACCACAAAAGCTGCAAAACTAAATACTGGCGAAAACATGTCCAAGCTTCCGATAGACAAAGTTCATGCACAGACGCAAATAAATCAACACTCTTTATAGCTGCAGAAATAGAGTTTTTTGATCACTTAAATGAGATTGTAGAGTCTGGGGAATACATCACCACAGTTGAAGTTGAAACATTATACAAAAACATTATGCATGATCATGGTATAGACAAGCCAATAACACGTAGATCCTTGATTTCCAATATCTCACAGAACATGCCACACATTGTAATATCCCAACATAGAGGAAGTTTACCAGGTGTCCTGCATTCTAAGAAAGCAGGTCATGAGGCAGTAGATATAGCTCGGACGGAGAAGTACATCAAAGGCGATCTTGATAAAATATTCAAATCAGCCAAAGTAATCAGGTGGCTGGTTATTAACACAAGGAAAGAATGCCCATGGGCGTTTACGGGACACCTTGATGGTTCTAGTGAGAGTGGTGTACCCCGTGGAACTGATGATGATGACTAGGTGGATCTTGCAAGGATCTCAAGTGGCTACAACCAATTCTAGAAATCTAGTTTTACGTAAATCATGTGCTATAATCTCGCAAATTATCATGCAAGAATTAAAGACTAAACGACAAGTTACGCATGAAGCAAAGTCAGAATCTGAATTATCGATGTTTCGTCGACAATACGAAAGCCTGTTTGCAATTGGCCTATCACTCTGGATGTACCACAACCTTCGGAGCCAAAAAGCAATAAATTTATTAAGTAAATGTGGTGTAGGCGTATCATACAGCGGAGTTACTCATGCCTGCAGTCACATAGCTAATGCGGTGCAGGAGAACATCAAAATAAATGGTGTTTTCTTGCCACTGGGTATCGTAACAGGTCGAGCAATACGGGCTGCTGCAGATAATGTTGACAAGCAAGTAGACACTCATGATGGAAAGGTTGGGATGCCAAAGAAAAACGATACTGAACATCACCGCCTGAATCAGACTACAGTGGTACGCCAAGAACAGGATATCGAAAATCTGTCTCGTGGGCATTCACCGTGTAACATTTTCACATCAGAGGAAACAAGCTTGTTCAAACTCATGACAAAGGAGATTATTCCGAAACCTATTGAGAAGAGCATTTTAAGCATGGAAGCTTGTGGGTCATCTGTGATGAAGAAATTTGTTGAAGAAAGAATAAGCGGAGAAACCAATCTATGGGACAAAATGACAAAGTCCAAGTTTCTATCATGGGATTCCTCAGGCAAAGAGATTAAACTTCAAGCCAAATCAGAAGTCATCACTCTTCGCACAACCACAGGTCTTATGTCCAGACTGCTCATCATTGCACAATCATCCCGCGAGGTTGACATGGAAGAAGTCATTGGAAACTAGGAGTTTGCGACTACAAACCGCATGTTGATGAAGCTTGATGAATCTGTTCACCCAACCTTAAATAAGAGTAGCATTATTGCAGTTCTGGAGGATCTCTCAGGACAAGCTTCAACGAACAGCCAAACGTTAACTGAATCTCCTTCACGAGAGAACAACCAGAACACAACCAGTACATGTCTTGTTGTCGACGGTATGGCAGTTGTTCAGGAGATAATGGCAGTAAAGCCTTTAAAGAATTGTAAGGAATTAGCAGATGCATATGTAACACTCATAGATGCCAAAGGTCACAACTACGATATTACTCGGGTTATATTTGACAACTACGTCGTCGAGGTTTCACTTAAAGAAGCGACACGAGATCGACACAGGGGAAGTAAGGCACTTGTAAAAGGATATGTCATGGAAGATGCTACTAAAATAAAAAATGTTAAATCATTTCTTGGAAGCACTACTACGAAAGCAAATCTTACACTCTTTTTAGCGAGGAAGTTAATAGATCACGCTAAAGTACATGTCATTACAGCAACACATCAGGGGGTTATGTCAAACAGAGCTGGCAATATCACTCCTGGTGTTAGCACTCAAGAAGAAGCAGATACGTTGATGATCTTACATGCAGTCGAAGCAGCAAAAGCGGGGTCCATTGTTCCTATATACAGTCAAGACACAGATGTATTGCTTCTTGTTTTGAGACGTGTTCCCCTTCTTGGTGAACAAGCAGCACTGTTGATGGGCACAGGTGATCGACGCCGTCTAGTGTTATTGAAGCCGATTTATGATTCACTTGCAGAACAGAAAGCGAAGGCGCTATGCAAATGGCATGTCTTAACTGGCTGTGATAGGACAGGCTACATTCGGGGAAAATCAAAGAAAGCATGTTTAGAAGCATTTTTGAAGGAAAAACCCAGTATTGTTTCGGCCATTTCCTCTCTTGGAATTGAAAGTGGGGTTAGTGGGCCATCTGAAGACATAATCGAAGGCTGCATATCATTTCTATGTGGTCTTTTTCGTAAGAAAGGTATTGAAGCCACAAACCCACACAGTCTTCGATGGACCTTGTTCAAGCAACAGAGAATTGACAAAGGTATTGAGCTACTACCACCAACCTATGGAGCGTGGAAAGAGCACATTTTGCGAGCTCATTGTCAGTGTGTGGTATGGGAACAAGATCTTATTGTCTGTCCAATGACAATAGAACCACTAAATAATGGATAAAGGAAGATGACCATCTTGTTCCCCAGTTATCCAAGATTCCTCCAGCCCCAACAGCCGTTGTCGAATTGATGAGATGTACCTGTGGTGCAAGTAATCCAAGTGCAGTAAATAAGTGCACTTCCGGGAGATGTTCGTGCAAATTAAACAGTCTTGTTTGCACAGAGCTATGCAAATGTGAAGCAACCATAGATATTTGCCAAAACATAAACAGCGATATCTTAGATCCAACAGATGATCAATGTAGTTAATTTATTTCATTGCCTTTTTAAATTTTCATTGTGGTGGCCGGGGAATACAATTTTTGAAATTTAAACATTTGCAAACAAAGATTAAAACCACATAGCAAGGTCACAAACACAAAGAAATTGAAGAGGTGAGACCACATTCTCAGCTGAAGTTTTGATATATTATTCTCTACGATGACCCCCGTCACCATTTAATTATAAGTTAAAAAGGCCCTGATTAAATAATGTTGAGTTGAAATAATTAATAAGACGTGAATAACTGCACTTACATAATAATTGAGTCGGTTTTCATTGTTCTTTATAGGTATATAAATCCAATACAATCTAAAAGCATGGGGAGGAATTTGATATCTCCCCAGGGAAAACTGGGGTTAATGAATAGAATTGAATAGTAGAAAATGCATCTAATTAAATATTCATGGTTTATATACACATATAGACCGGGTTTATATCCAGATATAGACCACTTTTACGCTAAGTGGTCTATATCTGGATATAAACCCGGTCTATATGTACAAAATACACATAATTCACAACAAAAATCCTTTGATTTATTAATTTCACACTAGCTCAACTACTTAACAGCTGAAGTTCTTCTTTACAACAAATGTGCAAGTAGAAAAAGAAACACCCACTTCTGACTTTTTGGCACTATTTGTTCCCACACTTTCATCACAATTTAATTTACGCACTTTTGTTAACGAGTCGCAATTATCATAAGTCTCTATTCTTTTTGGACTTAAGGCAAATTTTTCTCCACATTTCTCATCTGTCGTAAACGACTTTACACAATCGAAAGCTTTTGAGATCTCTATTTTACTCGAGGTACTAGGTCTTTGGTATGTTTGAAGTGACCGAGCATCCCTATGACCTGTCCGTTGCATAACAAACTTATCTGGAATGCCTTTCAATAATCCTCTCGTTGCTGTTGTGGCTCGAAGACTGTGGTTAGTGAAATTTCCTTTAATCCCAGCCTTTTCACAAACACGGCGGACAACTTGGCCCAATTTGTTATGCCCCACTGGGCTTGATGTATACCAAACTGTAAAAACATCAAATATATAACGGATTAGACAACAACTTTAATCAAATTAATAAACAAGTCACACAAAACTTATGACTGTTTTAAGCTCTAAAAGAAACCTTGCTGCATGCTAACTAGCTTTAAAATAGATATAAAACATTTTAGCTACCTTCATCTGAAGAATCGTACTTTCGCTTTGGTGTCAGGTAAAACGATTCCTTTTCTAATGCTCCTTTTGGACATTTTGACACGTATATTTTGTACAGCTCCACAAGGCATCTTCAGGCCGGTATTTCCTCATTTCGATAATGTTCAACTACCATCGCTTTAATTCCACGCTGCTTAATACCTCCGGCGTTGTTCTTCTCACCAAAAGATTGATAGACCAACTTTTCTGGCTCCTCTTCGGTGGCAATTTCCAAGCGCATTTCCAAAGCCTACATCTAGACTAGAACTCTCGCAAAAACTATTCTGGGTGATAAAAATTTCTTCGTCCGACTCGCTTTCTTCCATCCTCGTTCGTAATATAATAATGACTTCGACAAAACTCACAATACACCCTAAAACAATCAATCAGCCTATTTACCGCCTATCTGTCAAAATATTTTCTTTTGTATTTTGTTTCCCATTGTTCTCGCTTGCTTAACCACGTATTCACAATACAATTATAGCTATTGAATGCGACTCCTCAATTGAATCACTCCGTCTTTAAGGGCCCATCATGATTAAATCTTTGTTGACAACAAACTCTTTGTTGAAAACCTCCTCAATTATTATATAAGTAAGTTATATACCTCGGATGTTGATCCTACGGCCCCTCGGGTATGTATCTAGCATAAAGCCTCCATCCTCGGTATATAACTCTTACTTATAATACAGTGTGGTACTACTATATTTCCAATAACAATTACGGATACTGTAGTGAACTGTAGTTATCAAGCTTCATTCTCTTGTTAAATAGGTAAACAATGACAGTTGAAAGAAAGAGAACAATTATTTTGAGTGGTTTGCCTTTGTATGAATTATGTAATACAAATAAACTTTTTATGTGTGAAATCTGTCCATTTTCTATTGCTTTCTTGACTACATTTGAGGAATGGTGGCCATCTTGAAATCCAAGATGACCGCCAAATAAGAGAAAATCTAAAAATAGCCCTCACAGGCGTGATCCTGAAGGGAAAAATTGGTATCAAGTTGTTTAGTGTTTCTTAATACCAAATGCATGTTTCCTGAAAGTTACAAAGATTATACCCAAAAATGCATATGGTTTTCAGAGCCAAGCGGACTAATTATAGGATCTGTGTGAAATTCCAGTAGTTTGTTGCCAAATAGTCATTTAGTGTGTTTTGCCAAATAAAAACTGCCTCGTATGAGGTAAAAATGGTTGTAACAAAAATGCAGGTTGAAATCAAGCCTTCAAAAGCGAGCAGGGGTGGTAACGTGATGTTACCTATAAGGGTATGTTACATATAGGGGTATGTTACATATAGGCGCAAACATAATGATGCAATGTGTAATTAAGTGACATAATATTTTCATGTTAATTCCAGTAGGAGCCATGTTACATATAGAGGCAGGGGTAAAAACCTTATGTTACATATAGGGGCACACGTAGAAACCTTATCTTACGCTCGTATAGGAGTGAACACTTTATGTTACATATAGGGGTAGGCGTGAAAAGGTTATGTTACATATAGGGGCACGCGTGAAAAAGTTATGTTACATATACAGGCAGGGGTATAAACCTTATCTTGCAATAATATAAGGGTGAAAACCTCCTGTTACATATAGGGGCAGCGGTGCAAACTTTATGTTACATATAGGGGCAAGCTAAGGATAAAAACCTTATCTAGAGAGAGAACTTAATTAATATTCTGTACTGCAGGCAATCTGTTCAGATAAAATCGGAGACTGATTAGTCTGATTACTGCAAGATCTATAATTTTCCCATTCAATAATTTTATAAAACGATATACTTTGACGTAAGCGCCTTGTATATATCCACAACATTCAACGTATAAAGATCGGAAACAGATTGCTAACGTATGTACCACAAAAAAACTTTAATTTTATTTAAATACCTTTATGTCTGCTTTTGCCCCTATATGTAACATAAAGTGATCACCCCTATATCAGTGTAAGATAAGGTTTACAACTCTGCCCTTATATGTAACATAACTTTTTCATGCCTGCCCCTATATGTAACATAAGGTGTTCACCCCTATATGAGTGTAGGATAAGGTTTCCACACGTGCCCCTATATGTAACCTAAGGTTTTTACCCCTATATCAGTGTGAAATAAGGTTTATAACTCTGCCCCTATATGTAACATAAGGTGTTCACCCCCATATGAGTGTAGGATAAGGTTTCCACGCGTGCCCCTATATGTAACATAAGTTTTTCATGCCTGCCCCTATATGTAACATAAAGTGTTCACCCCTCTATGAGTGTAAGATAAGGTTTCCATGTGTGCCCCTATATGTAACATAAGGTTTTTACCCCTATATCAGTGTGAGATAAGGTTTATAACTCTGCCCCACCACACTCACCCCTACATGAGTGTAGGATAAGGTTTCCATGTGTGCCCCTATATGTAACATAAGTTTTTCATGCCTGCCCTATATGTAACATAAAGTGTTCACCCCTATATGAGTGTAAGATAAGGTTTCTACGCGTGCTCCTATATGTAACATAAGGTTTTTTATCCCTGCCCCTATATGTAACATGACTCGTCTGGAATTAACTTGAAAATATTATGGCTAAAAGCCTGATTTACTCCATGAAGAAAAGACAAAGCTAAAATTATCTCAGCAGGTTGCAGTATTCAGTAAACAATGATTTATTACCAAACTGGTTTTATTGAAACATCAGTAGTATTATAGTATCTATATTCTATACCATCCTGAATCGCCAAATGAGAGAATTTTATCTGGACACTAAAAACATTCACTCAAGAATAAAATAGGGGATCAAAATACTTTAAAATAAGGAAAGAATACAAAAAATTACCTTTAAATTGCAAAACTGTATTTTCATGAAAGAACGTATCGACGGGACACAAGATGAGCCAGCTTAGTTATACGAGGAAACAAACGATTTCTAACGAATTTGGATCAAGTTAAAGTATCAGCAAGTTTTCTTGGTGTGTTTTATTTGGTAGGTAAACGACAAATACGCCTGGTATAACAAGGCATGTCAGCATTGACTCAGAAACGTCCTCAAAAATATAGACACGTTTCTTTACGATTGAGTTCATTTAAATGTAAAAGAGGTCCCCAACATTCTTGAACATGTGCTTTTGCTTAAAATACCATATTTGACTTGATTTGTTCCTCTATTGCGAGATAACAGAACAAAACAGTTGAAAATACCGTATTAATCACAATAGCTCACTCCTCAAGGTGGTCACACTAAGATGGCGGCCGCGCGCGACTTCCAGCTTCAATTTCTGTATCTATAGTTGCGCTCTCCATGTATTCTATAGCTCAGTGTCTGCGAACGACGTACCAAGAATGGCGTTTAAAAATATTTCGATCTGCAGCTTTCCAGCATATATTAGGGAGTTTGGCAAACGCAACGTGTGTTGCAACGGCTGCGACGAAAACACCGAAAGGACTGGGACCAGGATAATTTTGACGTTGCCTGCATATTTTGACGTTTCTCCTCGACGCCATTTTGTATATTTACACGTTGTCACAGGACGTGCAGAATTTTGTCATGGATTCAGTTGAGGCAGTCGATAAAAAGTAAGTAAACGTGATTATTTTACAAGTTTAATAATTAAAGAATTAAACTTAAAAGGAATTTCTTACATAACATAGAAAACTCTTGATGAAATGGACCAAGGAACACGACAAGGAGTTGCTAAAAGAAATGCTCATGGAGAGGCCCTTCGAACAGCCAAAGGGATCTCGAATGATTGGTTTAATATGGCAAAAGATTATGGATAATCTGAATACTAAAGCGTACCCAAAGTTCTGTTTGAAAGGGATACGATCAGTGAGGGAACGTTACGGAATACTAGAGGAAAAGTACAGACGAAAGATGCGCGAGGAAATGAATGCAAGTGGCATAAGTCCAGAAGCCAACGAGATTGACCAACTACTGGAAGAAATAATTGCTTTATTTGACAGCAACGAAGAGGTACGAGAAAAGGAAAAAGAGACAAAAAATGAGGAAAAAGGTATAGCCGAAGATATTAGGCTTAAAGCTTTAGAAACAGTTGGTGAAACTAAAAGGAGAAAGAACGAGATAACTGTAGTATAGTCAATACGTCACTATGGTTATAGTATAGGTGTTATGTTTCGACAGGATATTACTCGGTAATATTAACTATATAATTAACTCATATAACCAAAGAACATCAATATATATTCAGTTAGTTAGTGTTTGGACTACGAATAGACCTGTAGTATTATCATATAGAAATAAACAAATAAACAAATAAACAAATAAAGAGATATTATATTGGCGACGAGCATGGCCGATGACGAACAAGCTGCGCAACCAGTGACTATTAGCACACCGTCGGTTTCTATACAACCTCTACCTGAATTTAACCCTGATGCAGAAGTCGGAGCGAGTTTAGCCACTCGTTGGACGAATTGGCTCGATGATTTTGAAATGTTTATACTTGCCAGTGGAATCACAGATGAGAAACGCAAACGTGCCTTACTTCTCTATCAAGCGGGACAACGCGTCAGAAATTTTTCGCCAATTATCGAATACGGGAACAGCAGCGGACTATAAAACTGCTACAGACAAGCTCACGGAGTATTTCGAACCTCAAAAGAATCATCGTTACGAAGTATACCGGTTCAGACAAGCTACTCAAGAAGCACACAAAACGTTAGATCAGTTTCATACGCGTTTACGTACGCTCGCCCAAACGTGTTTCTTTCACAGACACAGATTTCAAAATCGAGCAACAAATTGTTACGGCTGGCTCATCATCTAGAATTCGAAAGAAAGCTCTACGCAATCCTACGTACGACCTGAAAGCTATTCTCATTGATGGTAGATGTGATGAGCAAAGTGCTTATTAAGCTCGTGATATTGAGTCAAAAGAACAGAAAAATGAAGTTATACGAAAGCTTCAAGAAACTGCAATGAAATGTGTCGGAATTGCGGCGGCTTATATCCCCACACGAATAATTGTCCGGCGAAAGGTAGACAATGCAAAAAATGCGGAAAACAGAACCACTTTGCAAAGGTCTGTCGCAGTAAACCTGAACAGAAAGAACACCCCCTGCAAGTCAAGGAGAACGTTATGAACATAAATTTTAAAATTATAGAATACAATTCACTTTCAAACAGGATTTTTCAAGAGGTTTACTTTATTTTTAACAATGTTATTACAACTTTGTAAATGTTGACGTGTACAAACTAATTTAACGTTCGTTCTACGCAAGCTTAATTTCAAACTAAAATGCACGCGCACGCACATGTCTGTTCTCATTATCGAAATATCTGTCTAAAATAGGTCTCCATACTGTCAATGACTCAAAACTGTTTAATACTTTCATACCACGATGTATTTCCCTGAGAGACTCTATTCCTTCTTTCACCTTCCTTTGTCTCAAACCACTTTCTTTTGCCACAACACTTGTATTTTCCCAATCAACTCCACTTAAACAATTCACATTGTGTCGCGCTAATCCCCCGTCTTCCTTTCCCATTCGTTCATTCGCCATTGTCAAGTTCCCGTTTTTAGTGTGAAGTTTCACTTCACACTACTGTGATGGCTGGCGAATTCACACGAATCAGTCAGTCAGTCAGGGAGTAAACTTTCCGGGGGGTGTATACGATTTATGTTCGTAGTGATTTATTGTACTTAGTCAGTACTTTGAAGGTTATTTAGGCAATTTCAGTTAACTTATTTACATATTCTGTTATCCTTTTGCCAAGTTCACAAAAATTTCGAGGAATCGCTTTCGTTATTGTATTTTTTTGTAAATTTTAGAACATTCGCTTCTCATGTTGTGTAAAGGATCTTTACCCCGGAACACCCGATTTTTTCTTTAGTAGCGCAAATGCGCATGCGCTATCAAGCCGTAGATCACGATGGCGTGACGATATGCTAGGAAGGGTGACAGTGTTGTTTTCAGCTGTATAAAGATTTCAGACGTGAATATTGAGTAAATCTTTGAAAATCTACGCAATATATAAATTGATCTTATGCATTACGGGCGTTCAATTAAGTGCCGATAATATTTAGACGGTATATTCATTATACAGAGCTAGGAAGGAGCTAGACTGCCTAGACAGTGCAGTTAAGTGTATAAACATTTCAGACGTAAATATTGAGGCGAAAATCTTGCTTCTAGGCATTCAATTGAGTGCCGATATTATTTTTTCACGGCATACTCATTATACAGAGGTACAGTACGTGCAGGCAGAAGCGAGACAGTGTTGTTTTCAAGTATATAAACATTTCAGACATGAATATTGAGAAAATCTTTGAGATTCTACGCAATAAGTAATACAATATATAAATTGATATGCATTTACCGTCGATATTATTTAGACCGTGTATTCATTATACATTCTCATTGACTGTATAAGGTGCTACATCACAGAATAGATGGCTATATTCAGTACAAAGAGCGAAAAATTGCATCAGATTTGTATCAGATCAATAAAGCATAAACAACTATTAAACAGAAGCGGGTAAACGTTTGTACGGCGTTTACGAAGAAAAAAACTTACGAGACTAAAGGAATCAGTTGAGTCAGAGCTCCTTGTATAAATAAGAAAGACGAGGAGATAGCCAACGTGTTTAGGTGTTATCGCCAACGTGTTATCGCTAATCGCTTAATTGGCTCGCCAACAAGCTTTATGCAATAGAAGAAAAAAGCAAGGAGGTACATGTAACCAATGTGTACATTCACGGACCTTGTCCTTGTCTTTGTTTACTGTCTAGTGTCTAGCACAACGCCGTTGTCAACGGTGCAAACTCGTATTCAGTGCAACGATAACTCTACCAGATCTTACGAGAATCAATCTGTAGTATTCTGTACAGACAGAACTATATCGAAGCTTGTCAAAAATGTTTTAAATACTGCTATAACTGTGAAACTATTGAAATCTAAAGTGATATTTATATTCAACACATGCGAAAAGCTGAAAATAGACACACGTCACACTGGGAAAAGTCAAAGGTCAATGAAACTTGTTATTGTGAAACATGTCACAATTAAGTTAAAATGCGGGAGCGGATCCACGGAACGGATATGCGGATAAAATACGGAACGGATGAGGATAAAATGTGTCTTTTAATGATGTAACGACGTAGTGCTTATTATTCATAACATATCTAATACAGCTATTTCAATTATAGTTTATTAGATGAATTTAGCATAGCAGTAGCCTCGTGGGGATGCTTTCAGCGACAGCTGCAAGTGCAAATGGAAATTTAGAATATGCAAAATTTGGTTGTTGGTGACACAATAAATAGATGAATTGCATCAGTTTCACAAGGCACGTTTCTGATGTGTTAGGCTTGTTTCGCATTAAAAGCAATAAATAATGAGATGAAATGCCTTTGGTAACTGTTTATTTCGTAGTGTAAGCCATCAAGCTTTTCTAGGTTGTCGGCGACCCTATATATAGTTCTTGCAGTGTCTTTTTAAATTTGAAACTTCACACTATTCTTGGATCCCTAGTTTGGAGTAGTATCTACTCCTTCAAATTAACAGTGCGTGTTTAAATAATTTTATTAAAGATTAAAGATTTATAATATATTGCTTTTTCATTGTATATATATATATATATATATATATATATATATATATATATATATATATATATATATATATATATATATATATATATATATATATAGTGTTTAATTAAGGCCATGAGGCAATTTTTGGTGCAACTTGCAATGCAACTTCTGGCATATATAGCAATGTTATGTAAAACGTAATCAGAGTAAATTAAAGGTCGCTGAATCTCAGTTAATACTTTTTATGTGATGTTATTATAAATATACTGTACATCAATCTATGTGGCAGAAGTTGCAACAAAAATTGCCTCGTGTAAGATTGCTTAAATTTTTTTTTGAATTTTGAATTTGAATTTATTAACATTTGTCACAAAAATTACAATATTAGCGACAGGAGGAGAAACAGGATAAAATCCCAATTGATATCTTCCCCTTACATGCAGTTAAAATATCTAAAGCTATTTAATGTATACTATAATATATATAAAAAGCAATAATGAAAAATTATCTAGCACTAAATTAAGGCGGAGAGTATGTTAAGAGTTTTTCATTGTAAATAGAAGAGAGTTGCCTCCTAAAAAGAGCAACACTCCGATTACAAGTTTTCAACTCATGTGCAAGATTGTTCCATAATTTCACTGATCTTGGAAAATATGAATTTTGATAGTAACACTGTTTGTGGTTAAATAATTCACGAAGGTTATAACTATCTGTTCGACGAGTATTATAATGGGGGCAAACAGGCTTGTATAGACTACCAAAGTCCACGTTAAGTATCCCACATTTATGTTTATAAAGAAAAATTAGATCGGAGATCTCTCTCCTAAATTCAAGTGGCAACAGGTGCAATTTTAACAATCTGTCCTTGTAGGAGATATCTCGGCTGTAGTGATTTAAGATGAATTTAGTTGCTCTCCTTTGAACATTTTCAATTAGTGCACGTTCCTTTATTGTGTACGGAGACCAGAGATTTGAAGCGTATTCGAGTTGCGACCTTACCAGAGTGATATATAATAGCTTCCGCGTCTCTTGATCTACTATATCCTTGCCGCAGACACGTTTAATAAGACCTACACAGCAAAAAATCATTTTCTTATTAAGAAAAAAAATTCTTAATTTAAGAAAAAAATCTTAAAATAAGAAAACAATTTTCTTAGTAAGAAAAAATTTTCTTGAAATAAGAAATTTTTGAATCCCAAGATATCTTTTTCTTAAAATAAGAAAAAATTTTCTTAATAAGAAACATTTTCTTAAAATAAGAAAATACGATTTTCTTACTTTCTTAATAAGAAAACATTTTCTTAAAATAAGAAAATACGATTTTCTTACTTTAAGAATATGTTCGTAAGACAAGAAATGAAATTCTTAAAATACAAAATTATAAAATAGTAAGACATTACTACTTGAATTTTCGAAGCAAGAAAATGTAAAATGCTAGTGTTATAGGACAACTTATATCTTAACAACGTATATCTTATTGCGTCAGGTAAATTTGTAGTTTTTATTTCGAATTGAAGAGACTATATGACCAGCAGCTCACGGTTGATCAAACACTAAATGGTCGGCAGTACATTGACTATATAGTTAAAGTTGAATCTTCAGTAATCAGTATAAGATAGATAAACCGATCCCCAATCCCAAACCCTTCTCTAACCCTAACCCCTAACCCTAACCCTAACCTTTTGAGAGTTAGACCGGCTGCCGGTAATATAGTCACTTTGTTTTATTTCGTTTCCAAAATTTGAGCTCGTTTCAGTTTTATTGAATCGTTGAAGAGAATTTTTGCCCTCCGGAATTTTTATCCAAGCAGGAATAGTTCGCCATAGTTCGCGTATTCACTAAACGCCTGGTACCTAGTTTACCTTTTAGAACGCGGAGCATCGCGGGATAGCGTCGTTTTACATTTTTCAATTTTTGTGAAAAATTTTATATAAATATCCATGAGCGCCTTCAAGGGCGATTTAAATGGCAAATAACGATTGGAAAAGCATCAGAAAGTCCTTAAAATGTTGTTCAGATACCACAGGTAAGAATAATTGTATATTTGACTTGTTATTTAAACAGATTCATTGCGAAATAATGTAGTGATTATGACTGTTTACTTGAGCGAAGTGTGGAAATATTCCATTGAATGTTTGAATTTGCCGCGTTCGTTTTGCATATAAAACATGCAAATGTTGCTTTCAGGCAAGGGACGAAAGATTAAAATATAAATTCAAATCTATTGTTGTGAATTCCGTACTAATTTACGCACTAATATTAACAATTTGACAATACTAAATTGCCTTTGACATTGGCAGTTAGCTAGACCTTTCAAATGTCAAGACTCAAGGCTATATAGTGATATGAAATAAGATATTATACATACGGATGTTTTTGAAGATCTGTTAGCATTGTAATACTTGAATAAGGATTGGAATTACAGGAGAATGACAGCATTTAATCTGATATTTTCAGTGTATAGATAGCTGAATAACTGAATTGCATCCTACTTTATTGTTTACTTTGTCTAATGCCAGAGGATTTTCCTACTTGCCTTGCCGGATAACTTGGCTACTGTAGAGAATATTTAGTTTTCCCGACTTACTATACTTCACCCGGGAAACTCTGCAACCCTAGATAGAATGTATATGCCTTTTATTTAAAATAATAGCCCAAAAATACATACAAATCATTAGGTATATTTATAACTTTCCTCTATTTCTAGCAGCTTATTCTTGCCTATTTTGTAATCATGTTTTTTAAACCTTTTGAATGATCCAAATTGTGTTTGTATTTTGTCATTGCGCAGCAATAATGGGGTAACTTGATTTCATATAAATAGACTGCTTTTTTGTCCTGCCTGAGTGAGTAACTCACCTTGCCGGGTAACTCGCCTACTGATGTACTGATATCCATATTGGTATATCAGTCATCTTTGAATTTCGTGAAATGACATGTATTATCGGTATCGGCAAAGTATTGGTCTTTTATTATCAGTTATCAGAATATCTGTGAATTTCCATATATCGGTGCATCACTAATACAGTTCAAGATTGTGTTTATATGAGAAAATGCCATCCTGCTCAACGGGACAATTTTGTTATGTTGACATTGTTTTGACAGTTGTTAAAAATAGCTTGCAGCTCGGAATCTTTGAACATTCATCCTGGCCCAGCCTGCTTGTGAGTGTATATGTGGAGAAATTTTCATCCCAATAAGGAACATTGTGGCATCAGAGCCAGCCTGCTTGTGGATCCATATAAACACATGATAATTTTTTCTAGATAAATATACCTAATGCAGTAAGATCTTGCTTACCGGGCTGTCCCGCTAAGCGGTCCAGCCCAGCTTCCATATAAATACATTGTACAGCTGGTTTAAAGAACCATGAACAGGCAGAACAGCAACCGGAAGTAAACTATACTGTCAGTAACTGTGTGATATGGTATTGGACAAATTATTACATTTCTTAATATTGCAGCTTTGGTGCATGAATAAGGGATAATAGTGTACTGGGCACTTGCCACAAGAAAATGATAACTGAATCCAGGACATCTGTATCTGCCTACAGCCATGTCTCTGCTTAATAAAATTTATATAAAACATATGTAGTTTAATACTCCCTCTTTCGTCTTCTACCAATATGAACAGGTGATTGGCCGATTATAACATTAAACAATAAACCCTTTGTATAAATATTAATATTATAATTTTATATAAATATTAATATATTAATTTAATATTATAAATAATATTAAATTAATTATATTAATGAATTATATTATAAATGAATTATATTATAAATAATAAGTCATAAAATTAATACTTGTCTATCTTTTTAACATAGACAGATTTTCATATTTTTTACTGTGGTGCATGGTGCCAGAAATTTTAGGGGGGGGGGGTGAGCCGTGAGCAGGTGACTGAAGCATCACAAAGTGTCACCATACCCCAGTAAGGTCTATATTCTAGAGGTGGAGCACTAGAGATGTGAGGGGGAGTCTAGAGAGCAGAAAACAAAGTATCCCTGGGGAAATTTTAAAAAATCATGATTCCTAGCTTTGAAAACGTTTTTTGAAGTGGTCATATCAATGGATTTGGCATGTCCGATTGTCTGATGAGACTTGGGAGTGTTAAACGTAAAATGAACCTAATAGGCCAATACACAATATGCTTTTACCAGTTTTATAAAGTCATTGACATTGTGTCGTTTGAATCCGAATACATTTTATGATGCAACTCCGATGTAAATAATAATTGGGGCATAAAGATTAAATCTAGGCAAGTCTATTTTCTAAAAGAATTAAAAACTAAAAATAATGTTTGTAAAAAATCCAAATGTTCCTTCCGAGCAAGCTAAGTATTTGCATGAGAAGGCACTGCAAACTGTATTCAGGGGAGATAATATAGTTTCAAAACTTTACAATTGCTCCAATAAACCAGTGAATGCACTGTCTTTTTCTATTTGAGTGTACTCCTACGTTTATTTTATATCATCAACACTCTGCATGTTCGAGTGGACTATTTAATTCTTTTTTATTATGCCAAAGTTTGGGGGGGGGGGTTGAAATATTTTTTGAGGGGGGGTCATTTTGTTTGGGGGAGGAGTTATAGCTAATCCGTCTATGCTTTTTAATCTAGTTAACTTAGGTAACTGAGGAGTGATTCAGATTAGCAAGCAAGTCTCCAGGTCTATTGTTCTTGCAATTTTGTATATATATAGCTATTTCAATTAAGGTTGTCCCCCAAGCAAAGCAGAAAAGTCGAATACAAGCAGGAAAGTCTGCTGAAAATCGCTAATAAATTCATTTATATTTCTGTATACACCACATATAATACTTAGAGTGATGCTTACATTCTCAATATGTAAGTAAACTTTTACAGATTACTAGCTGTATAAGGATGTACATATATGATGGATCTCCAGTGGCATTTGCATGATGTGTTTGGAACAGTGTTTAATGTGCATTATAAAGAAATCTATGGACTTTGAACAAATGGTTTGTCAGATAATATTGCTTGTCATGTGGAAAGAGCTTCAAGTCTTCAGGAGAACTTAAATTTGCTACAACACATTGCTGTGCAATCAGAACTACACCTAGTTGTGTAACAGTGGCTGAAAAAAGAACTTGTATAAATTGACAATAATTTGATGTTTTGTATGTTACTCTGAGTGTATATCCACACCGGGCAGGCTAAAAAGTTAGCCTGACCATGGTGGGAATCGAACCCGCAACCTTTGGGATACTAGTCCAATGCTCTGCTAACTACATATACACTCAGAGTAACATCAAAAACAATATTCACCTGAGTACCTGTACATATAAACACCCAAGCAACACATTCTTAATAAGAAAATTCTTTTTAAAGAAAAATTTCTTGATTTGAGAAATTATTTTCTTAAACTAAGAAATTATTTTCTTATTTTAAGAAAATTTTCTTATTTCAAGAATTTTTTTTCTTGGGAGAATATATGAATTATTAAGAAAATTTTCTTGTTATTCTCCCAAGAAAATATTTTCTTATTTCAAGAAAATTTTCTTAAAACAAGTTTTTTTTTCTTAAAATAAGAAAATGATTTTTTGCTGTGTATGGTGTTATTTTAACCCCCCAAACGGATTGTTTTAGACTTTTTGTTGTAACCTCGGATTTGGGAGTTAAAATAACCGACCTTCAAAATAACAGTGTGGCTAACATTACACGAGCAACGCGGATCTGCGTTCCTGGTACCCGAACATTTTGCCGAAAGACATTTCGCCGAACAGACATTTTGCCGAATGGACAATTTGCCGAAAAGAGAGATGTTATTTCGTCAGAATATTAAACACCCATGCACGTTCGCCCACATTGTTTATCAAATTGTTTGGGGCTGTCATTCAGTGTTATGTGAGTAATTTTTAGCATGCTTTTTGTAAAATATGTGCGATAATAGATAAACTAGGAGTTACTAACGCAAGGAAAATTCTGCCTCCCGGCCAAAACTTTGGGTTAGATTGTTCAAAATCTGTTTATAATCCGCGGATAATTCTAAACTAAATAACATTATAATGGAAACATAACACTATTATAATTTTTACTGAAATGTGCGTATATGTTACAACAATATTCTAATTATCTAAAATTAAGAAAACAGTTCTCTGTAATGAAACAGGTCATTTTTTGAGCACTCCAAACAATAATAGCTAATAAAAATTAAGTAATTATGGGTAATTCCACGGCTTATTTCTCCGACTACAGGGTGTATAAAAAAAAGGAGACCTTTAGAAATCAACCATATTGTTAAAATTTGAATGCCTTTTCAATTGCACATATGCTTAACTGTTATAATTTGAATCCTCCAGCACTTTACTAAGCCCACGAGTGCGTAACATGCGATCTACGTACAGTATCATGGCAGATTGTTCCCAGTAGCAGACAGTCTTTGTTTAAACGTTATTTTAATTTCTAATCTCCTTTTTCTAATATATGCACCCCATCAATATTTCACGCACTACGGTTCAGCATACGTGCAATTGAAAAGGCATTCAAATTTTAACAATATGGTTGATTTCTAAAGGTCTCCTCTTTTTTATACACCCTGTATACAGGGTGTCCCCAAAAAAGTATCCTCTATAGAAATTTATCCTATTGTTGTTAAGCACATGATTTTATGCTGCTGGTAATTAAAAATTCAATTCAATTGTGTTTACGCAGTCTTGTGTTCAGCATAGTGCTCAGGCATTCAAATTATAGCAATAGGATAATTTCTTTTGAGGGTACTTTTTTGGAGACACCCTGTACAAGACTATAAAAATTATGACACTATACAAGATTATACATGACACTATACTACACAAATTAAGAAGACTATACAACACTACACAACGTTATGCAACACTATACGACACCATATAAGGCTACACGATACTATACAATGTTGAATATACAAGATTATACGACATTATATAAGACTTTATAATATAGCATTTGTAAATTCTGAACGCTGATTGACTCAGAGCCATGTTGATATAACTCGATGTCAACACAGGAAATTTTCCGCCGCTTGTAAACACGGAAATTTTTCTTATCCTTCGGGCTTTTGACATTGCTATATTATAAAAAAATATAAAACATTCTTTCCGTATTGATATATAGTTATATCAACACTCGTTGAAGTAAGGAAAACTCGAAATTGTATGAAAACACTCCGCCCTTCGGGCGTCGTGTTTCCATACAATTTCTCGTTTTCCCAATTCTACTCGTGTTGTTATAACTGTATATCAACACGGAAAATGTTTTATATTTGTTAAATAAAACACTATACGACACTATATAATAATATATAAGACTATACGACACTATACATGCAATACGACACTATACAATTTTGAGAACAATAGTGAGGGCTTGATAATTCTTCATATTGTGCGAAAACCGAATTCAATAATTGTTTTTATTATTATTTAAAAAATTCAAAACAAACGGAAGCCATTTGATTTGTATTAAGAAAAAAACAATCCTTAGTCCTTCGGCAGCTGCTGTCGTCGTCATTTCAATGGCGTCAGCGAGTCAATATGATTCTCGTCGTCATAGTAATATGGCGCAAACGCGTCCAATTTTTTTTCATATTGACTCTTTGACATCATTTTGCTATATGAATGTGAAAAATCCATATTTGGTTAGCCATTAAGTTGATATGACAATTTCACAGTCGGCTATTAGCCAATCAGAAACCAGGAATTTTTTAAATAAATAATAATATATAATAGCGTTCACTGTAGCAGCAGCTTCATGTGGATATACAAGGTGAAGGCATTTACCTCAAGGAGATTATGCCGTCATAGATAATGGAAATGAAGGAATGAGCGATAATGGAAATTTTGAGGACAATAGTTAGCCGATCTTAAGAACAGGAAATTACAGTTAAAAGAGTCAACAGTAGGAAATGTTATTAAGTCAACAGTATAGGAAATGTTATTAAGTCAACAGTAGGAAATGTAGTTGCATTGAAACGATCGTAATTATTTGTCAAACGCACGCAACAAAGAAAGATGGCTTTATACGTTCAAATAAAGATAATAATTTTGTCACTGTTGATGATCCGTTACAGTCTTATCATCTCAAAGGAAACATGTGAACAAAATATCACCTCACTGGAGATTCGTGTTGTTTATCGTGGTAAGTTTGCAATTCCTAAAGGTAAAACTTTGTTTGTATATGAACCCCTGTTCGAGTCAATCCATTCACTTTCTATGACTCGGTCCTAACATTTTTACTTTCAAGCTTAAGGCTGGGTTCATGTGTGAGGAAACGGATAACCCAGTTGTCGAGAAAACGGCTTAACGTATATAATTAATTGATAATAAAGTATACTGGAATGAAGTGAAGGTTCTCAACTTTAAAATGTTCTTTATTATTCTATTTTTAATCTTTTTACTGGTTTTGGAATCGATAATTATGAAATCCCAACGCGACGAGTTACTTCGAAACAAATATGAAAATATAATATATTTTAATTGTCATGTAAGTTGTTTTGGAGATAAAAATCTTCACTATAAAATTACGGAAATGATCTATTTTGAATAACGAAAATTATTTATTGGAACAAACTTTTTATAGAATGAAATTTAGCCTATATATATATGGAGGTTCTTATATAAATATTTTTTAAACGCATTCAAAGTCGAAGATTGTTTAATTGGGAGTCCAAATTGTTCCAATATACCATATCGCAGGCATAATCGATCAATAAGCTTTGCTTATCTGTCCAATTTATACGTGTTATAGCGGCAGGTGCACTTGCATCTTGACGTCGGTAAGTATATTTTGTTTGCTCAAACTGTTCGTTCCTTAATGAAATTAAAGACAAAATCAACAAGATTTTCTATAGCTCATTTAGAAACTGCCATACAACCGAATGGAAGGTGGCGAAGTAACAAGGTTGTCAAATTTAAATGATCTCGAGCTTCTGGAGTAGAATATAGTATACTTATTGCATAGAAATATTAGGCCTAGAATGCGTGCTTGGTCACATGACCGGTGTCCAAATTGAAAACAAAAATGCCCTTATAAATCCGCCATGTTGATTTTGAGCATAGGAGTGCAAACTAGAAAGACTGTATAAAGAAAGCTAACACTATAATCGTCAATACATTTTGTATTTGTAGTTTGGGCATATAATTTGAAATATTAAGTTCTTTAAAGGCTCAAAGCAAATGCGCCGTTACAAAAACGGTGAAAATCGTGCAGTCTTGTAAAAACAAAGTAGTTTCGCTTATAAATTATAATTTACTCATAAAACATTTTTGCATGCTCTGAACGTAACTGTTTTGCTAATATATTATGAAATTGCGAAATGATAGTTCATTCTTCGTCGGGATTCGTTTTTCTTCAATCTAAACGAAGTGTTTTCATGTTTTTGAAGCAAAAATATTTAGTTGTCGATAAAGTGTATAAAATCGTCTAAATAATTGTCGAAATCATATATGGTTTCAAAAAGCGTTGTCTCAAGCTCAAGCAACGTATAGAAAAATATGAAAAGTAGTTGTGTAAGTTTAAAGAGATTATTGAACTCCATTTATATTATAAAACAGTTGAAATACGTTTTTAAAACATACCTATTGAGTTTGAGCTTGTCTTGATTTAATTCGTGTTTTGTTTTGGCTTGCACAACAACGTTGAAAATATATTTTCAATGGGTTTTCTCTTTTAAAAAACTCTTTTTCCACTTCAAGTCTCGATATAATTGTCCTTTTGCAAACTTTGTTGAAAAAAACAATTCGCACTCCCTGCAACCGCGCGAAATTCCTTGCCGCAAGAGTCTGGGACTGGCCAAAATGCCCATATAAATCTGCCATTTTGTGGAGACAAAATTTTTACTGAGAAGAGATAGGAGCACGCATTCTATGTCTATTATTTCTATGACTTATGGGTAGATCTAGACTAGTCTTAGCAGCGTTGTCATGTAACACTTTGTCATGTATCAGAGTTACGTTGTTTTTGTCTCCTAAAACCAAATCATGGTAGTATAAGAAGACCGATAGTAAGAGCAAGTCTGTTATACGTCCATTAAGCAAGGGAAGCTAATATTTAGCACGACGCAAAACACCCAATCTTTAGTATATCTTTGTACATGTAGCTTCGTGATGATCAGACCAGGACGTGTTCTCTAACAATTTACGTTTAATTAAACTAAAACGACAAATTATGGAAAGCAGAAATTTCACGTGAGCAGGTGCCAAATACTACAAATTTGCATTTCTCAATGTTGAGTGTCAGAAGATTGTATTTAAACCACTCACAATGGCATCTGAGAACGGCATTTAAACAATCTAGCAGCTCTTGTAGATTTGAGTAGAGGTAATAAACTATACTATAACTATCTCAATAAATATCACCAAATATACCGGGTGTCCCAAAAAAGTACTCCTGTTTGATTCTTAATAACTTTAAATAATTTTTAATTTTAATTTAATAACTTTCATTAAATAGAGGAAAGGCTAACTTAGATTTTTATATGTTAGATGTAAGTTTTCGCTCATTATTTACTGAGATACTAACGCTTGAATTTATGCAAGTTTTTGATTGATTTTTAAAAATACCCAAAAACAAGGGGTATTCATATTTCAGTTCAATATAAAGTCTCAAACGAACAAAACAAAGTTGACGTTTCTAAGTCTGAATAGGATGAATATATGGTAGCTTAAATGATACTGTTTTACATGCCATTTTGCGAATACATATTAGTGTATCAGCGCTATATTTTTCATACATTTCCCTCCAAGAATGTTACATGTCTCTGGGGAGTTGCATGTTACGTTCGTATGTTATGTTGTTATGTTATGGTTTAATTGTGCTTCATTTTGAGTATGCCAAGATTAACTAAGGATCAAAGAGTTTGGATTTGCTTAGAGCATTCAAGATTACAAAACGGGGCAGAAGTTAGAAGACGATGGCCGCGCGGTCGCTGGGTAACACTCCTGACCGGACAAAACGAACAGTTATAGCGCAACGCACCAGAAGTTTATGCGTGAAGCGACATGCCACGACGCAATGGTCTCCAACGAACTTGCATTCGTGTTAGAGGTCACGCGATTCGGAACAAATAAATCTTGTTTGTATTTTGTAAATAATTATACTTCGTTTCAAAATAAACATTTTATCAAGTTTTATCAATTTACTGATAATAATACGTCTTTAAGTTGAGCAACGCTTGGTTAATATTTGATATAGGCCGTTTTTCGCAAATTTTTTACACATCCAGAAATATGCTACCAAATTTGAACATTAATATCTCGGTCAGTTTTTCAGTATAAATATACAACTGTAATATATCAAAATCTAAGTTAGCCATTTCTCTATCTAATAAAATATATGTGAGTGTAATAGCTTCATAGCTTGTATAGTGTATAGTTGCATAGTCTTATATATTATTTATAGTGTCGTATACGGTTGTATAGTCTTGTATAATGTCGTATGTACTATTTAAAGCACGCGTAGGAGTGTTTTATCACATATACTAGAAATACATGCATGCAGAAACCCTCGCCTTGCAGACAAAACCATTTTATTTTCCGAACGTGAAGTATTTTAAGTAGTTGTCATGGTAATACGATAATTTTTTAAGAATATTTTTACAAATGAAAAATCCCCTATAAATATCACTTTTAATTACAAAGTTATCAATTTCCTAAACATATATATGTTAGGTATGTTATTATACGTAATATAAGCTTGAATTTAAGGTGAAATTCAACCACAAACGCTTCGCAAAACGTTTTAAAATGTTCTTTTACTATAGAACAAAACTGCCTTTATCGATAAACTTTGAGTTCGAAATAAAATGATTCCAAATTCTCCCATGCAAATAACTTTGCTTAGTATAATAAAAAGTGTAATCAATAAAGAAACACTAGAATAATACGCTGTCTTGTTTCATATTTATACACAACGATCGGCTTTTAAAGTAATTACAGTAGGTATGTTATTATACGTAATATTATAAGCTTCAATTTAAGGTAAAATTCAACCACAAACGCTTCCCAAAACGTTTGAAAGTGCCGTTCTTTTAATATAGAACTAAACTGCCTTTATCAATAAACTTTGAGTTTGAAATAAAATGATTCCAAATTCTCCCATGTAAATAACTTTGCTTAATATAATAAAAAGTGTAATCAATAAAGAAACACTGAAATAATATGCTGTCTTGTTTCATATTTTATATACGCAACGATCGGCTTTTAAAGTACTGTAACTACAGCCGAGATTACAGTATATTAAAAGCAAACAATGCATCAATATTTAAAACAAACTTACCTTCGTTAACGTCGGCACGTTTACTTCTTTCTTTTAGCAATCCTCTTGCCTTTATTTCATCAAAAATCCTTTGCAATTTACAAAATCTTGCAAAAATGAAATATATTTGCAGGAAATCATCAAATCAATTTCGCTGTCGTCAATCGTCATGCAGCCGTTATAATGCCAATTTTAAATTGGACCAATCAGTGTTGGCTATTCATTACAGTCCGCTATATTATGAGATCAGTGAGGATGACCACCCACCGAAACACGCACAGTGACCCACGCCCGCGATATTTGATGAACTTTAGACTTCGCTAATGCTTTCGTTTCTCCGGGTGTAAATAGCCGGGGGGAATTAGTACCCTCGCAAGGCGCTTCGCGCCGTCGGCTCGGGGAAAACACGACGCGTAGCGGAGTGTTTTATATGTGATAAAACACGACTACAAGTGCTTTAAATGGCTTCAAAAACGACTCGTCTTATACGAGTTCATTGGCGAAGTAATTTTTAAAATAAACTTCGTCTAAACCGAGAAAATCAAAGCTAAAGTTTATGCAAATTAACGTGAAATTTTATCACATATAAAACCACGCCACGCTTATGATTTTTCTTTGTGTTTTTGAAAGTCTTATATAATTAACATTGTATAGTATCGTATAGCCTTATATAGTGTCGTATAGTGTTGCATATACGTTGTGTAGTGTTGTATAGTCTTAATTTAGTGTAGTATAGTGTCATGTATAATCTTGTATAGTGTCATAATTTTTATAGTCTTGTATAACGTTGTATAGTGTTGTATAGTGTCGTATAACCTTAAAATATTGTTGCATAGTCTTGTATAACGTTGTATGGTGTTGTATAGTGTCGTGTAGCCTTTATAT